TTCATTGGACTAAGAGAGCTTCCTGTACAAAATGGAAAGGAGTTAGAGCAGCTCCGATGGAATGGGAAGGCCAGGCTTTGGACTTCCTCTTTCATCACTCTCTGCAGGCCCAATGACCACAGTGTTTTTCTCTGCCCTATTCTGGCAAGTGTAGTGGCTTCCCCTCCCCCACCGCCCCCCCACCTCCTCATCACAGAACAAAGGAACCTGGCTCCTTCCCGCCAGTCCAGAGAGGGTTCCTAATTGGCTTTCCATTAAAAAGAAAATAGACTACTGTTTCCACCTCATTATTTATGAGCCTTTCTGGAAGTGCATTTCCATGCACTCTGGGATTACTCATGCCCATTTTGCTTGGCCATATTTTATGATCTGTTTTATTTATTTGGGGCCTCTATTGGGTAGTCACATCTGAAACCAATTAGAAAACAAGAACTAGGAAAAACCAAATAAACACCTGGACATGTCCAAGCCCAGAGTGTTTCTGAAGGTTGTTACTGGTTGGATGGGCATGGTCATGCCAACAGTCCACCCCATAGGAAGCAGAGATAACTATCCAAGGGACACTGGGTAATAGGCCACACAAATGGTGGCCCACAGATTTAAACACCTCCTCTGACAGAGCTTGGGCTGAGCTTGCCTAGTTCTCGGGCCCACCCAGGTATCCCTTTGCAACACAAGCGTATTACTTATTTATTTGTGTACCTTCCGCTCTGCCTGGAACATAGCAGGAATTCAGTAGTTCTCTACTCTGACTTGTCCACACACCCACCAAGCCTTCTGGGAGTACAAGGATTTACACAGTCACACCACTTTAAAGGGACAATGTGGAGAACCGTGAATTTAGGAATGGTTTGACCAGCTCTTTCTTAGAATTCCTAGAGGTAAATGGTCTCAAAAAAGCAGTCGACAAGCTTGTTTTTCCCAGAGACCAGATCTCGCCTTGTAAAGCCCACCATTTAGCAAGGTATAGACAGGGGTCTCAGAGAAAAGAAGGTAAACTCTTTCATCTCTCTCGTAGGAGTCTGAAATCACATCTTCCCAGGATTTGCTTTGGAATCTGTGTCCTTAGGAAAGCCACTGGCATCTAGTTTTTCCAGGTAAAATTCCACCTGTTCTCCTCCTCTTCCTCTAACCACAGCAGAGACTGAGTACTGCGGGGTTCATGAACAGCGTACAGGGGATAGAAGCGAGGAGGCCAGCAAGCAGCCTGCTGGGGCAGGCAGGTGCGGGCTATAAAAGGCCTATGCACTGTAGAACTGTGTGGGGTTTCTGTTGGGGCCAAAGAGAAAAATGTGCCTCTCTTTCGTGACTTATTTTCTTCTCTGGGGTATTTGTGGTATTTGTTATAATCTAATTTCATCCATACATACTCACTGTAGGGGATAGCAACAATATTCATGCAGACACATCCCTCCCAAATGCTACCTTTGCTTAGAAATTTATATAAATCCTTTGTATTAGTCGAGGTTCTCCAGAGAAACAATCAGTAGGATATGCGTGTGTGTTTACACAATCATGTATCACTTAATGATGGTGATATTCTGAGAAATACATCATTACACGAGTTTATCATTGTGCAAACCTCAGAGTATACATTAAAAACTAAAATAGTTACGAAGGCACCAGATGATACAGTGTCACTAACCACTGTCACACTTGTACATGCAGTCTATCATTTCATCATTGAAAGCATCACTGTGTGTTGACATATATGTATATGTATATATATGTATATGTAAAGGAACAAATATATGTTGGAGAGAGAGAGACTGAGACAATAGGAATTGGTTCACACAATTATGAAAACCAAAATGTTCCATGATCTGCCACCTTGCAAACCAGAGGACCAGGAAAATCAGTGGTTAATTCAGGCCAAGCCTAAAATCCAAGTTCAGGGATCTGAGGACCAGAGAAACCAATAGAATAAGCTTGGTCTGAGCTTGAAGTTTTGATCAGGGGGACCAGTATCGAGAGCAGGGGAAGATGGATGGCCCCGCTGCAGCCCAGAGAGTACATTCACCCTCTTTCCACCTTCTGGTCCCGTCCAGACTGTCTGTAGCTGATGCCTACCTCTCCTTCAGTCAGTCTGCCAATTCAGTTGCTCATCGCCTCCAGAGGAACTCTGCCAGACACACCCAGAAATGTTTTACCAGCTGCCCAGGAACATCCCTTAGCCCAGGCGAGCTGACATGTAAAATCGAGCGTCGTATCCTTTAGTGTGCTTCCTTCCTTCCTTCCTTTGCTCACCGACTCAACCAAGTGCTCAGTGGTTCACAGTGGTAGGCACTGGCTGTCCATCAGGTGTAGTGTGAAAGTCTTCTTACCCGGCCCATGTTTCATCCTGTGCCATGACTTGGGGTCACATAAGCCAAGGAATCTCTCCTCCCTTGGACTGCAAGAACTCCAGTAGTCGTCAGGTTGTGAGGCAGGAAACCGACATTGTTTCCAAATCTGAGGGCTGTTCTTCTACTTCTTGTCACTCTGGCCAACCTGATCACTTCTTGCTGCTACAAATGACAGACCTGAAGCTTTCAAATATGAGGAACAAAGCCCCCGCTGTCATTTTCCCCACTTTTTTTGCCAGCCAAGGGGAGCAATAATGGCAAGGACTCAGAGGATGAACAGACACCTGGCCATGACCATTGGGAGAAGAGAGCTGAACCTTCCTTGAGAAAGTCCACAGCGTGGCAATGTCAAGGTCCGCTGAGGTCCCTGGATTGCTCTGTGTGACCTAATTGGTCCTCTAGGGAAAACCAGGAACTCTTTCTCAGAGTAACATTTTTTAATGGATAAAACAAAATATACAGGATTTTAAAAAGCCAATTATGTTAGAATACTCATCAAAATAGAGTGATTTATGTGCTAATTTCTAAACACAAGATACAAGTCAATACATTTAAATTTACACACAATAGAGCATTACTCTATCAAAGAAACATAAACGAGTCATTTGTAGGAAGATGGATGCACCTGGAGAACACAGTGTTAAATGAAATAAATCAGACACGCAAGCTTAAATATCGCATGGTTTCTTTTATATAAGAAATCCAAATTATAAATAAACAGCTAAATAAAAGACAAGAGGCAGTAGGGAGATGGATCTTTCTCAAATGGGAAGGGAATCAAGAGTTGAGAGACTGTGCCAGGCATGGTGGTGCATACCTGTGCCCCTGCACGCAGGAGGCCAGGGCAGGAGAACAGATGCAAATTTGAGGTCAGCCTGCGCTAAGCAGCAACACCTCGGTCTCTAAAACAAACAAACAAACAAAACAAAAACAGATGGAAGCAGGGGAAGGGAGGAAAAGAAGGAGATGGGAAAAGGAATTTAAGTGTTATGTCCGGATGGAGACCCTGCCGGCAGCGGAGAGACAGCAAGAAAGCAACGCAGTCCCCATACTGTGCACCAGCGGAGGCCCTGCCAGCAGCACAGAGAAAGGAAGGAAGCTGTGCAGCCCCACCCCGCCCCAGCCCCATGCACTGGTGCAGTCTCTACAGGCCAGGGAGGGACAGGGAGGAAGGAACGCAATCCCCACAACCGCGCGCTGGGTGCAGGCCCTACCTGTCGGGGAGAACCAGCAAGGAAGCCACTTCCACCTCTTGCCTCCCTGCCACCACCCACACAACACCCCCCACACACCCCTTGTAAGCAACCAGACACGACACAGACTGAGATGATAATAACTGAAGGAAGCAACCTGGTGTTTAAGTTGTTTGATTGACTTTGCAAGCCTCAGGCTGGCAGCCTGAGCAACTAATTAAAGAATAAGATTATGCAAGATAGTAACAATTGTGGATTAGCTACTGACCCATCACTGTTTTGTTTCATTTTACTAATCTGTGTTACTCCTTTTAAAATTAAAAACAAACAAACAAAAAAAGACAAAAGATATGTTATATTTAAGCACCAACTCCACACAAGGAATGTAACCATTAAGTACTAAAAACATAAACTAATAAAAAAAATTTTTAAATAACATTAAACAAAAGATAGGCAATCTTAATCTAACTTACATTAAAGACATATCCATATAAAGGTTGTGTCTTGATTCCATCATGGCCAATGTAACACCTTTTTCTCGGACTGAGCAGGACACACATCATATTGCATACTCAGCTGATTTCGGTCTTAATTCTCCTGGTTTCAAGGGTTGAGAATCCTGACTCACCAAGATAAATTACTACAAATGTATTGTAAGAACCACCAGTTTGTTTTTCAGGGACACCTGAATTCTCTAAGGTTTTGGGCACTGACCCTCAGTGATGGAAATTCACACTTTCACTATTTGGTGGCTGGACTCTGAGGCCCTGAGTTTCTCAGGGTTGGCAAGTTGGCTCCGGCAAGTATCTACAGATGAGAATGGATCTCAGGACCAGCAAACAGCTCGCCTAGTGACAAAGTAGAGCTGTGTGGTATTTCAAGACCTGCAGTAACTGCAATGCAGTACAAAGCTAACTTGATTTCTCACAGAGACAAAGTCACAGGGACAGCTGACATACTAGGGTTTGTTTCCCACACTCACAAGCAAAGGAAACACCAAAATCCACCTAGAGACTACCAAAAACCAGGATACAATTTCCTCCCATCCAAGTTCCCAGAGCCCACAGAGCATCTTGGAAGTTGGTGGACCCTGAGTATGTGCAGCTGTCCTGGAGAAGGAAGAGGTGGAAAGGACGGAAAAGTCAGCAGACAGCTCAGAACTGGAAAATCCCCAGTACAGGACACCTGGGGCAAGCTCAGCCTGGGGACTCCTGGAAGGCCTTCAGTGAGGTTGAGCATTCTCTTGAGACTGGATCTGCAGTGATACAGCTCTGCAGCTCCCTGCAACACCCTCAGTCCAGTCTCCAGCAAAAATGCCTGAAATGAGTGGGGCTTATACTAGCTAGCATCAAGGAGGGGGCCGGGTTGCACAATTGGATCAACCCAAGAGGACTGTAAATCCATCTGTAAGTGAAAACAGTTCAGCTGAAGCAGAAACCTGAACCAGACAAGGAAGGCTCACCTGGAAACCTGCAGGCCCTCAGGTGAGAGCTGGGGAGCCCCTCAAATCATGGAGTGCAGCCTTCTCGGGGTCCTGGGACCCCTGAAAACGTGGCTGGTGTCTGGAAAGGGCCAGAGCCTTTTGCACTGGAAAGGCTCAAGGACTCACAGCTGTGAGTCCAGGCGTCTGGGAAAGGGCTGTGCAGGAAGTCGGGCTCATTCCAGGGCACAGGCCTGTTGTGTGGCTTGGGCATCCGGAAGGAAGGCCTTACTGGGACGGGCATTCTATCGCCACGACTAAGGGGTTGGCGCTCTCTGAAATCCAAGCGAGATGCTGGTCCCTGGAAGACACCAACCGAGCAGTGGTTGCTGAAGCTTTAATGAGGAGCCCACAAATGAATCCCCTTTGCCCTGCACTGCCTCCAGCAAGCCCGCCGCTTCCCCACACTGACTTCCCGGCGCGATGCTGTAAGTTTGCCTCCTAATCTCAACCTCAATTCCTTTTTCCCCTTCTTCTCAGTGTTAAAGTCACGACCTTTGCGGTTTATGGGCCACCAGAGACTGAACTAAATGTGTTAGCTCAGAGTCCAAACAAGTAATAGCCAGCCAATTAAATTAATAATCCATATTGTTACAATGTTTAACCACGGCTGTTTCCTCAGCGGTCTGTTTAAATCACAGCCAAGGCCTGACCTATTAAAATGAATAACTGGAATTATGAGAAACTCCATTTAATAAACACAGTGAGGAACGCAGCACAATTGGGCATGAAATATTTATTACCACTTGAAGCAGAGCGCTGTTTGGGACTTTAAGGTAGGATTAATGAATGGGTTGTAATTTCTAACTCAAGGTGGGAGGTGTGGCCGGAATAGGGGACCGTTGGCAGATTTCTGGAAAAATCAGTCCACATTATATTATCAGACTCCTGGGGCCATTTGGTTATAGGGGAGCCGCCTCTACTCACAGTAAGAGGAAGAAGACCAATGTCTAATCGTAGTCCTCCCAGAGATCTAGTACTTTCTCAGTAACTGTTTATTGGATGCCTGAAAGGATAGCTAGACGGATGGATGGATGGAATGATGGATGGATGGATGGATGGATGGACGGATGGACCAATAATAGATAAAACATTTTTGCATCTATCCAGAGTTTAGTGATACAGGACATGTGGAACAGTTAGCATAGCACCTGACATAAAGTCCTCAGCAGGTGGTAATTGTCTTAATTAGAAGAGCAAAGCCTGGTTATGAGAAAATCAGTTCTCCCAAGCAGAAATTCTGTGGGATCTCAGAGGTGCTCAGGACTTCTCAGTCACCCTAACCAGCCCGTTTATGTGTATGCACTCTTCAGAATATATTTTGAGTAGTTAGTCTTATTGTTTTTAGCTTTTCTCAGAGCAAACCACTTTCCCCTTTTTTCCTGAAGTTCAGTGTCTGATCCCTGCATTCGCCCCAACACGTCCCTCTTCTCCCTGCCAGGGCTCTGTTGCACGAAGTCTCTTCTCTTTTCCAAGACCATATTAACTTTGAAATTTTGATAACAGGTTTAGAAAATGTGGTTTCGGTAATGATAGCTCTTGCCACATCATGTAAGCGGGTGCTTATTGGGGGTCTATGAATAAGATAACGTCTTTCTCTCTAGGGGAGCCCCCAGTGGGAAAAGGACAGTCCCAAACCTGCTGGAACTTGCTCTTCAGAGATAGGGAAAGTGGGCAGACACAGCCGGGCTCTGAGGGCACATTTCACACTGTAAGATCTGAAAGGGGATGAAGATCTGGAAAGGCACAACTTAGGTTCCCATTTGAGAACCAGCAAGCATCATTTAGAGACTAGGACAGTAGCCTGCAGTTCCAGGCCCGATGTCCCCAAGCCCAAATGAAGTGTAGAATGAACACAAAGGAGACAAAGGGCACCTTCGTTTTGCCAGGGGAAATCTTTTTTTTTTTTTTTTTTGGTACCAGGAATCAAACTCATGACCGCGCTCTTGCCAAGCAGGCACTTATGCTGCTGAGCTAAACCCCCTGGCAGCTAGGGAGAATCTTAAAACTGACAACAGAAAGGGAAATGTACTCTACAAAGGAAAGTAGATTCCTACATGTGAGGATGATTTTGAAGGGTTTTTTTTTCTTTTATTGAGCAAAAGGTAGGCCTAATTATGGGAGACTGATAACATCAATCTTCCCTACCTAAATTCAAAAGCCAAGAGTGGTCCCAAGCAGGAGGTTCCTCATAAGGGACCAATGTTGCCACACAGATTGTGATGCACGATCCTTGCCTAGTCCCGACAGATCTTTGAAGAACTGTCTGTGCCTTGCAAATGTAATGTGCCAGTGTTTCTGCCTGTCCCTCATATCTCCTTACTCTTTAAGGGTGCTTGCAGGATGATGAATTTCATGGCTGTGCTGGAATCCTGATTTTCTTATGTTGGAGGAGGCACATATAGCACATGAGCGCTCCAGCCTTCATATTAGAAGCCTTCTAAATTAAAAACATCTTGGGGCTGGGGATTTAGCTCAGCGGCATAAGTGCCTGCCTTGCAAGCAGGCAGTCGTGAGTTTGATCCCCGGTATTGATGAAAAGGAAAAAGACAAAAAAAAAATCTAAAAGGAGAGCTATTTCTCTCTGCCCATCCCTCGTCTGTAGCTTGTGAGTTTCTGCCTGGTGAAACTGTGTCTTCTTAACTTTTGTGCCCCACTTTGTAGCCTGCATCCTGTAAGTTTTCAGCAAATGTTTGTGGCTAATAAAAGCCCCCATCGTGAAGCCCACATGGTATTTCAAGCTCTGTGCTCTCGTCTCTGCCTATGCTCTGTCATATAATATTCCCAGCTCAGCTATGGTGCTCTCTGGTCTCCATTCTAGAGCTGAGATCATTGAGACATAAAGAGGCTTGCTACTTCTGCAGGACCCCCTAGATCATAGGGATTAAGTACTAAGGAATTTGAACCTCTGTCTGTATAATTCCTGGGACTTTGCTCTCATGCCATGATGGTCTGTCTCCAAGAGCTGAATCTCCATACAATCTCACCACACCACAAAAATAGACAATGTCTAAGCAAGACCATGAGTGGGAGATTATTGAATAGAGGTGTGGAGATTCTTTACAGAGTAGATCTCTTCTCTTCTCTTCTCTTCTCTTCTCTTCTCTTCTCTTCTCTTCTCTTCTCTTCTCTTCTCTTCTCTTCTCCTCTCCTCTCCTCTCCTCTCCTCTCCTCTCCTCTCCCCTTCTCTTTTCTCTTTTCTCTTTGTCTTTCTCTCTCTCACCTAGGGCCTTTAGCACCCCTAACATTTGCCACCATGCCCGGCACCTCTCTCTTTGTGGTTTTCTCAGTCTAGGACATGCGCCAGTTTGTGTCACATCTCCTACCCAGCTCATGTTGGGTCACCCCTTGACTTTGTGTCCGCTGAGCATGCTGACACTAGTGATAACGCCTCCTTCAGATCTTTTTGATGTCTCGGTGAGATGCAGCAGAAAGAACTAGGATATGAGCAAGAGACACAGGCTGCTGGCCCTGTTTGGCCGCTGATGTGCAGTGTAAATTTGGATCCAGTGTACCCCAGTGCCCTAAGGGGTTTGGATTAGCTGATCTTCATCCCATTCATAAGTTCTCAGACCATTGCAGACTGACACTACTTCTAAACCAATCAGGACTCTTCTTAGAGACCCGAAAAATAATGACAGTGTATCTATTACTGTCTTCAGAAGCGCGAAAGCCATGTCTGACTGTGTCAGTGAAAGAGCAGCCCACGGTAAGCAGGACTATCATGTGAACCGTAAGAACAAGGTCAGGGCACTCTGCATCCTTCTGAGGTCTATGCGGCCAGTAGTCACCAGTCTCCTGTGTGCTCTACCATACTGGGCAATGGTTTCATCTGTAATTTGAGGTCGATGAAGCCTGCTTTACTTTTTTCCAGAACTATAAAAAGGAGCAAAAATAGCATGGAAGCTTGGAAAGTGTGAAGTAAGCTCTTTTAAAATGTGAGCAATTTGATCATTATTAACTGGATCCTGCTCCAAGAAACTTGGGATACCTCAACTAAATCAAATATACCAATCCCTTCTAGAAACATAGGTGATGATTGATCACAAAGTGTATCAATCATCAGATTTGCTGTCTTAGATCTAAATAGAGCTCAGAGCTCATCAATTCAGCTTAGATATTAATTTAAATCACAATAGTTTCTTTAAAGTCTGTCAATGAAGAATATGTTTAAAGATTTATCTATGTCATGGACTAATACTATATACTGCCATGAAATGTCAGTACAAAAAATTATAAAGAGAAAAGTCAAATTACTTTATGGAGAATAAATTATTATGAACTTAGTATATAACTTTATTTGAAAAAATATATATGTAAACATGCATTTGTAGAGGGTTGTGTGTGTATATGTATTCATAAAAATATACTAGAATGCCTAGAAGGAAAAATATCAAACTGTCAACTATGTTTGTCCCTGGAGTGAAATGTTAGATGGTAGTGATGGAGATTTTTTTTCAGATTATATTTTATATACCTCTAAAATTTTTGTTTTACAGTGAGCATGTTTTCATTTATAACTAAAATGTTTTTCAAATCATCTAATGAGCAATTTATAAGACTCAAAGAGAGAATATTGACAGAATTACTCAGGCACATGAAGGGACCCTGTTAGGGCTGGTGATTGTCCTTCAATATTGTTCCCTCCACCATATTCCATAGAATCTCTCAATTTTACACTTCTCAGACTCTCTTGTGCATAGATGAGAGTTATGTGATTAATTCTGACCAATAAGAAGTGAGCAGAATGATTACCTATTGTAAGAGTAAGAAAAAATAAAAAGCTTAAAAATGCATTCAGGAGTACATTTGAGACTTAAAGAAGAGGGACTCTGACACAATGTGTTTCTGATATAAGGTGGGGAACTATGAGCATAAAAATTTTAACTGCATTAAATCAAAGCATATCAGTTCAGTTCCAATCTATAAGTTCATAATGATACTTTAAAAACCTCTCATAGATAATTTTTGGAGAAAACTAGATGACTAGAGAACTAATTTATTTTCTGAAATTTGGTTTAAAAAAAAGAAAATAATCAAGTACTTTTACCTACCTGTCTACCAGTTTCAGAATCACCAAACAGCTATTATAAGAAAGTGCTTTTTCAAATTTCTAT